AAAAAGTGTCAAAACATTCAATCTCTAGATGTTTTCCTCAATGAATTAGATTAATGAAATTAATCAATATTTTATGAAACTTTGACCAGTTTCCCCTTTACCACTAAGAAAAGTATCCCCATTACATATGGCTATATTTCTAAAATAATTTTAGTTAGGAGTGTCAGGGTTAAAGAGGTCTAAATCAAAATAAATGAAACACTTTTTAGATTCTTATTTGTAAAAATGGAAATATTAATGTCCTTGCACTATGCATGTACTGTATGCACTACTTTGTGTTGATCCATTGCTGAGTCAGAGTAAAACACATTACCTTTAGCATTTATCTTCTTGCCTTAGACTTAATGGATTGTCCCCTTTCAAATATTTGGAGCCCTGATCCAAAACCTGAAACCATCTCCAACGAAACTGAACCTCTAAATATTTTAATGTGTTTGTGAGGAACATGTTGTCATCGTTGGTTTATTCGGGTTTTTTTCAGACTGAATGGCCATTCTGTGATAAGTCTTTCACAATCAGAAGTAGCCACAAGGCTACTGAGGCTGCTGAAAACTCTAAACAGTCTTTGCTCAACTGCCTCTGTCCTGCTCCCTCCAAGTGAGTAAACTATCCTATTCTGGACAAAAATGATACGTTTATTTCCTTTTCTTGCATATTGCAAACGTTCGCTCAAAAATTGAATTTGATGCCCTGCAGCAGGATGGAAATTTAGCAGAATAACTTGTTTCCCCAACCTTTTTCTACCTTAATGAATGGCAAAATAAGATAACTGTAGGAGATACAGCCAACCATCTCTTTCATTTACAGCTCATCACTTCATGCTAACAGTACAAAGTTCAAGGCTCGTAGATAGTGTGTGAATGCAAGAACATGAATATCTAATAAAATATTGCCCTGTACCATTATGCAACATTTCTCAAGGCATTAGATCAAATACATCAAATACTGTGAGGCCTTACCAGATGTTGCTGATCTTAACAACTCATTTTCACAGTGCAATCTGCCCAAAAGAAAACATTTATTCTTTAAGAGCCTGTAGAAAAAAGAGCATCAGTGATTAAATCATATATCCACTCTTTATTCACGAGGGCAATGATAAATTTGGAATGTCAGCCTGGCAGTTTTAATATTGTCATTGATGTGTCCCAGATGATTAGCGGTTAATCAGCTGCAAATATACCTAATTACTAGATTAATCTCCAACTAATTAGCCAACCTGATAATGGGTTTGATCTACCAGTGAAGTCTACTGAATTCTAATTAGTTAATAACAGCCTCGATTTACCAAGAGGCCCATCTTATGGGTCATTAACAAACTAGTTACTCTCTGTATAAACTGAATGCAGCAAGCAACACAAATCCCACCAGGAGAGCAGCTGTGAAGGCTTAATGGCCATGGTGTGAGGCATTTTCATGCATCATGAAAAACAATGTATGCTCTGTAAATAATAAAGTCACACAGACGATTTACTTATGAACACCAATGTTCAGCAACTATGCAAGATCTGTAATATAAAAGAAACATTAGCTTTTGTCTTATGGTTTGGGTTACTTTTACTTTCTGAAATTGTTAAAATGCAATATATTGAATAAATTACCATGACTTAACAAGAAGTAGTTTTTATGAAAATCAGTTAATTAATTTTATATAACCATTAGATTTCCTCTAATAAAAATCATACATAATGGTTTGCAAACATAAATTAACCTCACTACTATAAGGTAAAATGTCACTTTCTAAGTTAAATAACAACCCCATGCTTTTAATGAAAGAAAAAAATTAATTTGGCTTAATTAGCCTTATCTCCTTGTATTAAGTTAAGTGAAAAAATAAAGAACAGGGGTCTCCTTTATAAAAGGGGCATACACACAAAAAAAAAAACCTGAAACCATCATGTGTAACTATCAAAGCGGAGGTTTTGTTATACAGAACATAAAAAGCTAATTTTAAGATAGAATGTGCAGTCTCTTAAACAAACTTGAGCCCATGCAGTTGTGCCCGCTGGTCTCCGAAACATGGGAGTTGTAGTGGTGTTAATTAAATCCAATTGTAGAGTATTGCATTAACAAATGTTGAAACACATTAAACAATTTACTACAACTAGTAAAAATTGCTGTTTTGAAGTTGTCTGATATAAAAAACTCCAGAAACCTCAACAGGAGTTTAGCACAAAATGACTATTCTAACTGAATGATTGCCCCTCCCTCGCTTGTCTGAGTCTCATTTGAAAAACCTCCCCTCTGTTGGGTCACTGTCAGTCAAAAATAATTAGGCATTTTCTGCCAATCAGCATCGAGCAGCCAGCTTCATGACCTGCCTCTGGCCCTGCCCCTGCTTTATAGACCCCATAAGAGCCTCAGCCTCACTGGAAGTGACTATTTTTGCTTATTACCCAATCAGGGTCCTGCTTTCCCAGTACTTTCTAAAATATTTTTTTAAATACACAGAGGCTCAGGCAAAATTCCTTTACAAAATTACACCTGAGGTTTTGCCTTCCTAGTATTCAATCAGAAAAACAGATAATGTTGACCTAGATGTTGAGGTGGGGAGTTCAATTCCCCCTACATTATGATTCCTCTGACATTCATGGTCACTCTTTGTCAAACTTGAATCATCCATGAACTTTATCATAAGCATTCAAAACCACAGTGTGAAACACAACTGTGCTACTTAGTCATATGGAGTGTTTGACAAAAATAAAAAAGGCCCTACAAGCTAGCTACAATATTTAAACTTTTTCCTCATCATCTCATTCATCTCCTCGGTTATCACTAAGGTGAGTTCTACTAAAGATTATCACTTTAATTGTTACAAGATGTAAGGCAATCAAATTAATTGCTGCCAGAAGAGTACATCTATTACATTTAAATACAGTTTTAATACAAGTGTGAAATGCTCTATGAAGATGCATTGGCACTGCTGGATTACTTTGCAAATTGGAGACTAAGGAGGAAATGTCTTTCTAGGGATCAATTATATTTCATGGCCCATGATGATGAGTGCCTTATAAGCAAATATCCACTTCCTATGGTATGGCTTTTGGATTGTTAAGTACAGAGTTGGTGTGAGTCACCTGCCAATCAACCATGGAGTCTGGTCTACAACTGAACAATCCGCAATTGTGTTATCCTCAAGTGAAATGGCACTCTCCTGCAGGAGCAACTGCTTTTGTTTCTCTTTAAAGTTTCAGAGGAATTGGAAGGCATAGCAAAAATGGGAATTTAGTAAATAAAGACCTTTAAAGTCAAAAGGGAAATGGCTGTTCCAACCGTGGCATTTCCGAAATCTCCAGAGTGGTGCATGACTTTACATGAGTAAATAAAGTGAATATAATTGGTCAAGAGGGCGGGATTGTTCCGGCGGAAGGTTCGCAAACAAGTTTGATTGTGGCAGATTTCTCGGAAACATCTTGCTAGCCAGTTAGCAACTTGGTGCTAGTAGGTTCCCAATGTAAATTACATTGGGACCAAGTAGCACTAAATTGCTGACTTAGAAACGACACTGTCAAGGAACGCCATGGACAGCGGAAACATGCAAGAAGAGGAGAGTTTTGTGTTGGAGGTTGTGGATGAGTCTCCTCTGTCATACATTTTTTATTTAGAGGAGGAAAGCAGGGATGGAGTTATTGTGGAAGAGGACGCCAGGGCAGCAGAAGCTTGGTTTGGTTTAGAAGGCTTACAGCCGTACATGTTTGAGCCCTTGCCTCGCAACACTGCCAGTTCTGCTCTACGCCTGACGAAGACTCAGATGTCCATCCCCATGAACACTGGGCCGTAACTCAATGGTAAAGTAAATAATACTTATTTCTTATTGCAACCATTGCGTATATTAGCTAAAACATATGAATCAAGATGGTATGACCAAAAAAATAGACTGACAGATGATCGTTGATATATGAATGGCCGAATTTAGGTGTACAGGCTGACATATAACTAACTGGCCTGCATAATATAACGGAAAAAAAAACCCAGATTTTAAGACAGGATTTTAAGATAGGAAATTTGTCTTCATTTTGGGACAATATCATCTAATAAAGAGTACATTTATATACATGATTAAGCCAGAATAATTTGACATTTAAATATGATTTCCCTACGACTTTGAATATTCCGTTTAGAAATACAAGGCATTCAAGGCATTGTGCTGGCATCGGCTGAAAATAATTAAACACAGCCTAATCATACTTTTTTTTTTTTTTTTTTTACTTCCTTTAAATAACTTTACTGACTTTATGTAAAAAAAAAAAAGCCTCCCTTTGTATTGTCTTTGCTGATCAGTCAAAATGCCTCAATACCTCAGGTATCGTGCATTACTATGTTCTCATTAAAGCTATCCTGAGTTTTTTTGAGGCTTTGTTTAAGCTGGCTAGCATTCCTATGTAGACAAAGCAATATTGCAGTTGAATGCCACCTGGTTGAACTGTTTGGGAAACCATCTTATGAGAACCATTGACTATCCCTGTCCAATTATTTTAATCAACTTTTATATGTCCCCTTACTTTATAACAAAGCAAAATATATACACAATACCCCCATACATTTTAATTCTGGCAGCTTTTTTTTTGCAACAATCAGCAGAAAGGAGGAGGATAAAGCTAAACAATTTCACCCATGCACTTAAGATTTAAAACATCCAAAAATACAGCTGTTTATAGGTCTTTTTTTTTTTTTTTTTATCAAATGAAGATCTATTTAGCACACCAAACAACAAGCATCAGCATGAAAGTGTGTCATTTTAAAAGCATTTATTCATGTATAATCAAAGTAGATTTTTTCTAAAAAGGGCATCTAATTAAAAATGACCCTGCAGCTGACTGGCAACCTGTCCAGGGTGTCTTGTCTATCTTTTGCATGTAGACAGCTGGAGATAGGCAAGAGCATTCCTTGCGACTCCAGTTGGGATAAAGCATGATGGAAAATGAATGGATGGCTGGATAATAAAAAAACGAACCAATAAGCAAAATAGGTGTAAGTTCCAAATAAATAAAATTGAGCCTTACCTGCCCTGTACCTTGATATCAGATATAGCGTAGAAGTATCTGGATAGATTGTTCTCATCCACCATGGTGGCTCCAGTAGCTGGCTTTAGAAGTCTAATCCTTAGATCTGTGATTGTAAAGAAATCTCTCAGATTTTTAGTAGTATCAAGCTGGCCGTAGAGTGAAGCCATATTGTGTAGCCGAGGTCCGGCAAATAAAGCGAAGCGGTCCTTTATCTCAAAGCGTACGGTCTTGTCGTTCTTCCACACATAGCCTCGAGAGTATTCCTCAGTACAAATGATGTCCAGCAGTGTGCGCTGGGACAGTTCATTCACTGTCTTGGGTTCCATGGTGAAAGCATCCAGGCAGTCAGTGGCATAGAACTGGTAAGGGGTCCAGGTACGTCCATAGTCAAGTGACTTCTCTAGGACCATCTGCTCTGGGCGGCCTGACTCAAATGTAATAACAATGTCATCAGTTAGCTCGATAGTCTTGTTCCAGGAGAGCGTAATGTTGACCTGCAGAGGTTTTGGGTATTTTTTCCATGATGTTGATTGCCAGAAAGTAGTAGGATTTCGACCTTCAAAGTCAAACATCAGCTCAGGAGGATGAGCAAGCTCCTCTGTTGCAGCATCACATTCATTGTTGCACATATAAGGATTCTCCTGAATGAAAACAGAACAAGAACAAAAGTGAATTATATCTCAATAAAAGATGGATCAGAATTAACCAAAGCAGCAGTGAATACAACAAAAAAAAAGTTGAAAAGGTGAAACTTTTTCAACAATCCCCCAAAATATGTTGTCTATAGGAAAGAATGCTTTAAATGTAATTATGCAAAACATGTTTAGGACTCTAGAACTCTTGTCAACACAATTCCTATTATAAGCCACTGTGTATGTCAGAATCTAGTAATGTCATTTCAAAGGCTGAGGGAGATGGTGACCCTTTTATTGTGATAACACTGTGAATACCATTTTTCTTATGAGCACCATTCCAACTCTGACTTTCCATCCAAATTGCCTATATAATTGATATTCTTGTGTGGTATTTCAGCAGGGATAAGAATGGAATCTTGATGAGCATTTCTTATGAAACACGCACAAGGACATGCATTTTTCATGGGCCCATGTTTGCTTTCTGCCGTAGACATCCAGAAAGTTCGGTTGTTTGTCTGAGCAAGTTTGTGGAGAGAAAGTAAGGCGTATTTCATGTGTTTGTGTTTGTGACAGGATAGAGTGCCTTGAATGTGTTTGCCCATACATATCCGTGTGCACATGCAAAGTTGGTATTTGTGTGTGAGGAGGTGTAAGCAGGATAGTAAAGAAAGAGAAATGAAGTGAGAGGGAGATATGAGTTAAGGCAATAGAACACAAGGCTTCCTAAAAATCACATTTCTTTTATTTTTTCTCCACAAACAATAAGGTTAAATGCTGAATAAAATCATATCTGAAAAATGTCTAAACAGGAGAAAGGCACTGCCTACCACTTTAGTCAACCCTTCTTACAGTGGATTAATCCCAAACTATGACTTTATTAAGGAATGTTCCATATTTCCTGTGCTCCGGTAAAAATCTCACATCAGAATTCTTACAGAATATTGGAATAATTTAATAACAAAGTGACCAAATATCCACTTTTAAAAAGTCTAAATTCCTCTATGGGAAATAATAATCACTGAAAAGGGCAAATAATCATGTTTAGTATCCCACAGATTTGGCAAATGAGATGACGTAAACATTTTTGTTTGAAAGTAAAATATGAAAGTCTTTAAGATTTAATAAATGTTGCAAAAGTCAGAAATCTAATCCTGAATGATAATATAATATTGTACATAAGAGGACTTTAGGATTTATAAGAAATATTTTGCAGTAAATGATTTGAATATGTTATAATGTAAGTGCTTTCTGTGCAATTCCTATGCAGCCTTGTTTTGAGTATACATTGTTAAACCAACACTTCAACCGTCATAAAATAAGTGTGGCAGTAACCCTGCCACACAAAACAACTACAAATGTGCAAACTGCTTTACAGCATAAGTCACTTCCCCCTTTGCCCATTCATTATACAGATGGAAGTTGATGCGACTTAGTTTATCTGAGAGACTGCATATTCTTGCAAATTGTGCAGGATTGATATTCATCCAATGCATCCTTCCTGCCGGGATCTATACATGTGTTTACTGTCAAATTATTGAGCATAACAGTTTCAGGCTCTGAACACATCAGAACATCTGTTGCTGATTGTGGAGGGATGGGGTATGGATGAGGTTGCGAGGCTGCAGAAATACGGTTCAAAACCAAAGTTAAATTTTTTTTTTTTTTTCAACGTGATAGGAAATGTTTCCGCCGAATTTGAATCATTACCTTATCGCTATTCATTTTGCACAGAGCCACTGAAAACAGAAATGTACTGTAGATCTATCCAACCATGCTGGTCCTCACGGAAAATGTTATGTTCCCTCATGGAAAACAATACCGAATTTTTGCCACTGGAGCCAAAATCTGTGACAATAATGATTCTGATACAAGTGTGTCTGCCGCTTTTGATGGAAACCTGTTCTAGTTAGCTCTGGTTATTTGGAATGACGAGTGTTGAGATCAAAATTCAGTGATATTAAAGGAGCGACTCTTCTCTGACGTCTCACCTCTTCAACAAGTTTATCAAAGGAGACAAGTCCTATTCAACTTCCTGTTGAATAGGACTGTGTACCCTAACAAACCAAAAACAGAAAAAAAGAGATTTTAAATGTGTGAGGAAAGGGCAACAGGGAAAATGGTGGCCCTCTGAGTTTTGCCACAATGACAATAAATTGAACTCAAGTCTTTATTTTACTGACAAGTCTCTAAGGGTCATTGTACTCCCACCTTTAGGTCTGTTAGAGACCTTCATGGTACAGAAAACAAGGAAGACCTTGACATTTTGAGAAGCACTGATTTCCGTGTTGTTATTCAGGAGCATGCATTTTCATTCATTTGTTTCATTGAGTTAGGTTAGGTTTTGCAAAAACAGTGGGGTGGCTGCATTTCTATCAGCCAAGCAAGGACTCTCATTCACTGATGCTATAAAGTGAGTGACAACAACATCAACGGATAATAGGTAAACACTTTTCTAACAAAACACTGAGAAGAATAAAATGCAGCATGAAGCAACAAATTTTCACATAAAATGTCATGTTTGTAAAAAAAAAAAACTAAAAAAAAAAACTAAAAAGAAGACATGGGTTTCTGTATTTAACATCTTCTTTTTGCTGTCGCCTACATTACCTTTAAAACTGAAAACAACATATTTTTATAATAGAACTTTCAATGCATGGTACCTATTTGCTACTTCCAGCTTAAACATATATTTTTTTATTCGTTATGAAGTCCAGTTTAGGTGAAATTGGAGATTTAGTGAAATGTCAGTACCTTTTAGCAGATATCCTGTGGCGGTTATTTAACAACAAAAATAGTGCCCTATAAAGATCAATATCTTCTATGGTCATTTAAGACCAAGACCTTCAGTGCTCTGCCAGGGGGCAGCTATTGGAAAACAATAAACCCTCTCAACTTGATCCTTTACCTGTGATCATGGCTGTGGGAGATGGAAAATCAGCAGAGGATGTGAAAGAACCTAGAATTTTGGACCGAAATGAAATATCGACCTACGGAAAAATAGACTTGACCTTATAAATAAAGAGCTGGCATGTTTCGGACTGCTGCTGAAGGATTAGGTAAGCATTTCTTAACACCAAGCAACATGTTTATGATGTTATTTTGTTATTGTGAAATAAACCTAATAAAATGTTCAGGGTTTCCTGTGAACATATTTATACTCGTTAATTCTTTTTATCTTATGTAGGAAGGTTTATCTTTTTTTATGTAAGAACCTTAAATAAGAAAATCTAAAAGCATTTCATGATGATGTTTTAGCATTGATCAACTAAAACCTCAGTCCTATTTAATACATTAGAATAAAAGTTCAGATCAGGCTGGTTTTTTAAAATAGCCTCAATTCAAATAACCTTTTAGCAGGTATTAACTATACTTTGATGAAGCTCATGTCTGTATTATTAAAGGTTTATTTCTATGTTTAATATTAAATGTTGTTTTTTCACCATCTGAAGCAGGAAATCCTAATAACTAACAGAAAAAAGTTTTGAAAACATCAGTATGTGTGAAATTAATCCACATATTGTTTTGTTTGGTGAATCGAGCTACATAAATAAATAATCTATTAAATAATATTATAAATTGATAAATATCATAAACTGCATTACCAGATGTTCCTCCCATCATGCACCGAATTCCTTTAACTCTTCATATGTTGAGCGACGTTGTTCATATTGTATTTTTAAGTGGATTTACTGATATTTATTAAATAGTGTAGCATCACATTTTAATAATATAATTGTAAAAGTAAATTGTTTACATTTTTTTTGTTTTGTTGTTTGTTGTACTGGTTTTCTCAATGTGATCACTAGCATATCATTTACAAAAACAAATAAAAGGAAAATAAAGTTGCAAAGTAACTGATTAGAACATATACCTAAAATCCCTAAATAATTAAAATAAAATCTAGAAACATAGCAGGTCTGATAGAAGTAATGTCAAAGCAGTGATGACCTGGTATTTTACATATAGAGTTATCCTAAAAACCGCTTTATATTCATGTTTGATAATATTTACAATAACACTTTTTAGGTTAGAGCTTATTCAGACCCTTTTTCAAACCCATTTTTTCTACCACTGAGGGTATGTAAATGAATAGAAATTATGCAAATGTATTTACATCTTGGAATAGTTGATCTATCAGAGACAAATGATGAAGACGTTTAATCCGTATGTATCATCTGTTGTCTGCAAATACTTGAATGGGCCATTGGAATAAAAACAGTAGCAATTAAGTCACCTAAAAGACATAAATAGCAGGAAAAAAAATCCATTACCTGTTGTAGTTACCTGTGGTTGTAATAAAATAGTGAATATAGTACCAGATAGAGAATAGTTACCAACTTATTAAGATAGGAATCCTTGTCACAAAATATTTTCCTGGAGGTTTTCCATAACATTATTTTCAGAAAATTATCACAGATGACAAAAATATCTTATAATGATATGTTATGATAAAAAAGGCTGCAACTTAAAGCAACTTGATTAAGAATGTGTTTTAAGAATTATATGAAAAGAGTCCAGTACCTTACATAAGCACAACATATGTGTAAGGTGCACGAAATTACTAAAACAATCTTTCGGCACAATGCACCTTCTGAAACTGTTAGAGGAGCTGAGGACCAAAACAACACAATAGACTGTACTGTGGGCATATTTGCACGTGTAGTTATAGTAGCTAAGTCTGCGCTTTATGCTCCACAGTAATGATTAGCTCTCAAGAGTATGTCTGTTCCTGCTCTTGCTACTTAATAAACTATATGTGTCTGATCATCCTCTGCCAAGCATAAAAAATCCTTTGTTTAACCATCAAGATTTTATTTCTTCCAGCTCACAAGAGGTGGTACTGAACATTCTTTCATTTCTAGTAAAAGGAATCCCTGAATTATATCCAAAGAAAATATTTAATTATACTATTTATTTTTGGATAAAGACCCAGATGAAAAGGTGCATAGATCTTCATCTCTCATTGTTCTCGTTTCTATCTATTTAAATATGATGTAAATTTTTCC